CCTTCGCTTACATGATGACCCACTTCCACGAATTGATTGCAACATAAGCCCACTGCAACTTGATTCCATTTTAGAGTTCTTGTATATGTCATCTCCAGTGTTATAGCCGTATGTGTACATTACATATTTTCTCAACTAATTAAACGCAGAAATTATCGGTCATTCAGTCCGACAATTCAAAAGGATATATAATCAAAAGTTAATAGCATGACATATAAGAAATCTTTTAATCAGCCAAGCAAGAAATTACTTTGTTCCAATGCTCTCGAGCTTTGTGCTGATTTCTAATTCTCCGCAAAACACTATCCTCATTTCGGAGTTTCTTTATCCTGTACTCACACTACAATTTAACAAAATATGGACCGCATGAGTCATAAGAGAATTATGATTGCTATCAGCCATTCGCCATCATCTAATATAGAACGCAACATCTATAAAAGGATAGCCACATAGAAAGTCATAGCATGAACGGATGTTTTAAAAATCTTAACAAATCAGTTTTATACAAAACCAGAACATTTTTTTGCGTTACAATTTCCACCACAATGCATGTAGGTGGCCATAGATCTGCGCTGGAGTCTTTATATACAATTGAAAAATGAACGAACTACTTGCTTGTCTTATTTGAGAGACAGTTATAAAGTGCGAAGGTTGAATATTAAGAAATCATAGGTATAATAATACTGAGAAAGACTAAAGGAACCAAAATCATACTTGTATCAACAGGTAGAAAAAAATGCCTATGCTAATGCAATACAGGCCACCAAGATCTGCAAGAAAGCTCACTGCACCTCGCAACAGAAAAGGATAGAATGATAGATGTCAGTTCGAAGCAACATTGATATATAAGTATATTTGTCTGAAGGATATGACGATATGTTATCTAATCAGTAATACAAAATTTCTGAGACAGTTAAAATTTCATAACAGAAAGCAGCATCCTAGCAACAACAACAACAATAATAATAATGCCTCAATGGCTCCATAACCTTAATTGCCCAAATTAGTACAACAAATACGGCATGTTAGTTTGACGAGACATCCTCATGCAAGACAGAAAAGGGGATCAAGGGGTAAGGAACCGAGCTCTCAAGATTCAATATCAATTCAACATTCTAACAATCAAAGGATCAAAACAATAACCAACTAGAGACGCATAGTTCCAGGAAAAGCTACTGGATCACCTAACCCCAAGGCCAACAAGCAAATCTAACACCAGGACCCAAAGACTGATAATGTAAGCAGCCCCACTTGCTCATATTATAAAACCTCATACTTATAATGTGTGTCTGTGTGCTGGTGAGAGTGGGTAAAATTTAGAGAGATCATAAGGTTAGCCAGATTGACTTGAAAGTGAGGAGCCAGAAGTATTTCGTAAGGAAATGAGGAAATTAGGCAGGACTGAAAGTGCTCCTGTGAACATGAAATTCATATGGAACTTAGAAAAATTGCAGATTGACAGTCAAGTACGTATACAAGTTGGCAAAAGATATTTACCCGGACCCATGATATTCTCCTTGTTGATTTCCACAATATAAGAAGATAGAAAATTGATGTACAATGTAGTATTTAATAGTCCATCAACAGAACTTTCGAGGGATGCCTGCAGTTGATTTGTATCACGATAAATCGAGCCAGGCAGGAACTCATGAAACAGAGGTTGGATTAGCTTCAAATCATGTAAACTATGGTATATTCGAGGGAACAAATTAAATTTTAAAATATTTGATTCCCTCCCTCTGAATGTAACTGGTCTATCGTCAAAAGCACTTCCATTTTTTAGGGTTCCACTAACAAAACTCACGTACTTGTTTAAATCATCCATTGCAGAGAGATTGAACTCAAACCCAACAGCGGTGGCAGGATTATTGGGAAGATCAGCAAAATGCCAAGAAATGTACATGTTATCATGAGCCAGCTTGCAGTTTTTACATTTAAGTGTTATGGTTGGGCCCTTGCTTGAGTTGTGGCAGGAGTAGTTTGCCAAAGTCGATAGAGAAGCAACTCTTTGATCAATAAATCCAGGATTTCCGGTAACTAAGCTACCCAGATCACGTAGATTTGAACAGCTCATGCTAGAAATAGTGGTGATGTTGAACTCCATGTCATTCATAAATGAATTTAATTCCGGTCTGCTTGTAGCTCTCACATTATGCACCTCAATTGTTCTTTTTGATATGATCTGGTACAGCAACCTGATGATAGGTCGAATCAAAAAAAAAAAAAAAACAGAAGGCATTTGGCAGAAAGGAAACCGAGGTTAGATACTTCCCAGGGGCGGGGGAAAAAAAAAAAAAAGAAGATGCCCTTAAAAATATTCTAATTCTAATTCTTTAAATACAAAAGTTATCAGATACTCACGCAGCAAATAAACCAATAAACAGTATCCAACTTGCTATGGAGAAGGTTCCGCCAAGTTCTGTTTTGCGCTTTTTAACTACCTTCTGATCATCCTATACGAGAAAATAGCAGTTATAGATAAATTATTCTTCTCACATAAGTTTAACAAGCACACCTATAATAGGATGATGAAGCAGGCGTTGCATTATATTCACAGACAATTCAAAATTTCTTGCAGGTCCACGTCAAGTGACGTGGATTTCAAATTGAATAGAGATGTAACCACATAAACCAGTCACGAAAAACTGTGAGATGTGAAATTATCGTAATGACAAACAAGATTGCAGTTTTTTGTATGCCTTTGGTATGGGAATGAAGTGAACATGATATGGGAAGCAATAGATACGAATCACAGGATCTGGCTAGCCTAAGTGGTGATGTTGATCCAACCATATCTGTAAGCTGTATTTTTGCGCTACCAATAAATTAAGGAAGGTGAAATCAAGGAGCTTCTTTTATCCCGAATACAGGAAATAGGCCCCAGTAAGTGACTAGTTAATGACATGCATAGCTGAGAAAAATGGGACGCAAAATAGAGCTTGAATTCCTCAATCTTTTATCAGCATCCCTATGCTTGACAGTCGACGGAAGCCATGGTGAAGGGTAGTTTAGATGAAAAAATAGAAGGAAGAAGGAAATAAGTGAGTGAAGAATGATGGTAGGATTAGCAGATGAGTGAAACAAATAAAGCCCCTTTAGGATTTTTCCTTTTTTTTGGGGGGGGGGGGGGGGGCAAGACTAACCAGCCAATGCCTTGTGGCAAAACAAACATCCAAACGACTAATCCACCATCTGATGTTAAACCATACAGTAGAGCCATCTCCAAGGCTCGTAAACCTCAAGAAAAAACAGAGGAGAAGCCAAGACAGAAGCATGACGAGGGTAGCCTCCAAGAACACAGCCTGGGACTGCGTAAACTTCTTGATGGAATCAAAGGCAAAGATGGTCTCCGGAAAGCTGAGAGCATAGTAGTCGACTCCGGATTCAGTAGCAATGGAGGAGTTAGCGGTGAAGAGGGTGCAGTTGTTGGAGGGGCGAATAAGGAGGTAGCCAGGTGGGCAGGCGCAAAGGGAGCCATTATAGCGGATGGAATTTAGAGGGCAAGCCATCAAGAAAAGATCTCGCTTTAGGATGGAAGAAGGATCGTGCTTGTTTGTGTGCTGCACCAAGAAGGATGCGAGGGTTACGTGCTCCAGGCCTCGATGCGTAGCTGTAAGAGAAGGGAAGGATGAAGAATAAAGAAAGGAATGTTCACACCTGAAGGCTGCAAGCTAGCCAGCACGAGAGGTAGAGAGGGAGAAATTTGAGTTCCCCTTGCTGTCTGCTTTTGTGATTTTGCTTTTGCCTCGTCTCAGAGTTTGGACAGCCAATCAGGGTAATTCTGGACCATGCCTCCTCCTCGCAGCGGCGCAGCGCAACAACCCCCCCCCCCCCCGCCCAAAAAAAAAAAAGTTTATTCATTTTCTTCATAAACCCGGCTTTCCACGCTACCAGGAGGACAAAGACCGAATCAGTTAAAAAATATTTTTTTAATAGGTACATCATTTATAATAAATATAAAGTTTTAAGTATAAGTCCTTAAAAAATAGATTTTTATTTGAAAATTATTAATCTAAGTTATTAAAACTAATTTTGAATGAATTAAATTTTATCCCACATTCGTGATGCCGATCATCGCTCCGAGCACGAAACAGGCTCTGGAGGACATGTTTTGTAATAAAATTAAATAAGAGTAGGTAAATTTATTCATTAAAGGCGTTTGCTTTTTAAGCCACTTGCGGTCTTGTGCACACATGGCAGACTGGTAGATGACGCTTAGCCAACTAGCCTTTTTCTTTTTTGACAGCTGGACCAGCTCCTGTTTCGTGAACTGCTGAACTTTAATGCTTTCCCCGGCAGAGGAAAGAACATGTGAAGAAGAATTTGGATCAGTCCATCCCAAAACAACAGATTGCAAAAATAATTATTTTTAACAAACAGTTTTAAATTATGCATGTGTGTAATTTATTAATTTGCTTCGTACCTTCAGATATACGCATATAAATAAAGAAACGACTAGTATTAAACTCAATTAATAAAACACGACTGAGATTAAGTTCATGGAATTGCAATCAAAAAATTAGTCATATATGCTTTGAAATGAATTTCTTAAAGCCATTTTTCAAATGCAGGAATGTAAGCTTTAAATATTCACTACCAAGTTTATTTGATGAACTATGGTGTGACAAGCGGCAATAATATTACAGCTCTGTGCCTTTCATTTGTGCAGCTTTTTTTAAAGTCAAATGATGATTACCATTGTCAAAGTGGTCGACTGGTGGTTGGGGGGTCTGCTATTTGGGGATGACTAAGCTTGAGTTCGGAGCTTGCTCACCTACTTTCCCACTACCTCGTCCCTCTTCAAAGTTGCAACACGTTAAAACTTAATTCAAAACTCTCTTGCTGAATGTAAACTCCATCATTTTCTTGTCAAAGAAAACAAGAAAAAAACTCCATCATTAACGCATTTTAATTTTCCTTATCTGTCTACTCTTCTTGTATTTACTCTTTTATGTCATACAAAATAATAAATCAAAAAAATCTTTCACACAAAGTGTGGCACGTTGAATTGTGCAGTTGAATTAGCGCCTCTTTGAATCACAATCATAAGTATCAATAAGCACATCTAACATGAATCAAGACAAAATTCTTACATACTTAACTTATATTTCATAAATCATTATTGAAAAGTTACTTATAAAACATTCCAAAAAAATCTGGGTTCATAGAAATAAAAGGAAAATATTAAGATAAAAGATGCGGACAACAAAGCAGACTGCTTTACTGAACTGAAAACACATGGCACACTTGAAAGGCTGTACAAAGCGAGGGAGGTAAAAATGATTGAACTGAACAAAGGTCGTGGACACAATACAAAGCAACAATAGTTGATTCGGTGAGATATTCTTGATTCTCATCAGCCACCTTGACCGGTTTGCACCCAAATACCAAGGATGATTGCGGTGCAGTAATCGCAATAGGCAGCCAGCATGAATGAATTGCTAAAGGATGCTTCAGGAGCACATCGTCTTCTCCAGCAGTTCCTGCAATTCTCCGCTCTGATATGCCTCTGCAGCCAAACAAAACGTGACGCAGTGCAAGCCATGAATGCATTGAATACATAAAACCAGCATCATTCGAAATCCACTACATTTTTGGTCATGGATAAGGATATTTCCCATGAATGGCAACTTCTTATGCACATAAATTATGATATAAGATGCGAAAATCGTGCTGTTATCAAGATTAAGAGACTCTATGAATTAAAATTATACAAACAAAATCTGCCCTCCAGTGTGGGCACTACTTTTCCGGAAAGAGATACATACAAGACTATACTGGATACTATCAAATTGACTTTCATTTTCCCAAGTCAAATATAAAACACTACAAGTCCATCATAGTCGTTTCCTAGACAACTCATTCGCTCCGGATTAACCACTAACAATTACAGTCGCCACTGGTCTTGTTTTAATTATCCCACCAGCGGGGAAATCACCGGAGAATGGGCAACCAGACTCAGTAAGAGCATTGCGGGCGGCTACCACACGCGTGCTGTAGTTCCGTATTTGTTTAGTGTCTTTTTGGGGGTCTTTGACGCCTCCTCTTAACACACGCACCAAGGGGGGAAAAAAGCATTGAACTTCTAGCAGGTGTCAAATTCTTGAAAACTTGAAATTATTAGCATGATATGCCTAAGTCGTCATTCGAGCATTAGCATGGCGGAACGTGAGTGGGGCAGAATTGAGCAAAGCAACCAAAAAAATCAGGTGGAATTGAATAAACATGACATACCTACAGTGATATCACAGCCACCAAAGAACTCTCCATCTAAGTATAGCTGAGGAAAGGTTGGCCAGCTGGAATACTCCTTCAGAGCTTGGCGTAACAAGTCATTTTCCAGGACATTTATAGTCTCAAAAGGCACATTGAAAGATTTCAATATTTGGACCACTGTGCTCGAAAATCCGCACTGCGGCAACTCTTTAGTCCCTTTCATAAATAGAACCACTTTATTTGAAGTAATGACTTTATCCAAGGTGGACTTGAGTTCAGGAGTTAACGCTGTAAAAATGGGTGCGGGCACCAAAACAGGCACAGAAAACAGAAAGAGCCGTGAGACAGTACTAACTCATAAAAGAGATTCGCCGTCCAAAAAAAAAAAAACCAAAGTTAGATGGGCGACAGTGTTAACGAAATTTTTTTTTAAAAATCCAACTAATTTAAATGTCAGATAAATGGCCGGGGAGCGGTGAAAAATCAATTCAAGCAGCGCGCGGGACAGGTGGGTGCAAATTACGAGAATCTATAGAGGAATTCTGAGAAAGCAAATAATAACATCAAGGATTAAAAAAATAATAATAATAATAAGCAAGTAAATTGAGAAATGGGAGCGGCGCAAGCAGAGAATTAGCGATTCTTGAAAACCCTAGGGCAGAGGAAAAAGGGGGGGGGGGCGAGACGCGTGATTAATGGTAATAAGAAGAGGAAGGAAAAAGAGAAGAAGGAGAAATAGAAAGCGGCGTACCAGAGAAGCAACGAAGGGGCGCGGTTGCGAGTGTGGGTCTGGGTTGGGGTTTGTAGGGGAAGAGAAGCTTGGGCATGGAAGGGAGGGAGGGAGTCAGAGCAGAGAGCATCTGGGATGGTGGGGCACGAGGAGGGCGCAAGGAACATGTGTGAAGCTGGACCTGTAGACGGATGGCCTTCACTCCGCAAGCACAAGACATCGCTCTTTCGTCTCTCTCTTCTCTTGGATGCCTGGGTTACGCTATTCTGCTTCGCTCGTCTCCCCGGTGGCTTGTGTGCGGCCCCGATGGCTGTACACCAGGAAATAATACTCTTCATATACTTAACATAATATCTATTTATCTAGTTTGTTTTGATTAGATTAAATAAAATTAGATACGTTAATTAATTATAAAAATATCACATTTTTTTTTAAAATATCATAATCATTTTTCTTGATATATTTCCTCCCTTCCTTATTTTATTATGGTTAGGGAAGTATATACATAGGTAATTTAAGAAAAAAAATAATAAATATAATAAATAGATTTTATATTTAAAATCAAAATTAACTTAATAATTACGTTCTATATTAAGAATCAGATGAGTTTTGTAGAATCAATAGTAATTTACAATAAAGTTTCAACTTTGAATTACTATATTTTTGGTTCCTGGAATTTGAACCCATTTTAGTTTCTATTCTTTAAATTTCAAACTAATAGTTTTAGTCTCTTAAATTTATTCTGTCTTAAAACATTAGTTCCTATAGGTGCAACAATGATCAAAATTTGTTAAAGTATCATCGTCAATATCATTAAAAGTGGTGATATTAACTCATCAAATAATATCTAATTAGATCTCATTTGGATAATAGAATGTGGCCTAATGAATAACTTCCAAGACAAAAAAAACAAGGGGCTAAAACAGCCTCCATATGAAGACTTTTTTTTTATTACTTTTTTGTTATCTATACAAGATTTAACCAAGCGTCATCTTATAAATCCACATCATCATAATTTTTTTGTTGACATTTTAATAGATTTTAATACTATTGCACTTTTAGATATTAACGTTTTAAAACTAACTAAATTCCAATGATTGAAATCATGGATTTGAAATGGGAGAATTATAACCATGTCCTAAACAGATTCAAATTGATCATTTGTCATTAGTAATTAAATTTCTTCCTCAAAATTTCTTAATAATTCTCACGATTAAAATTTAAGCGACTTAAATAAAAATAAACCGAAATTTTATGAACTAAAAAATATATTAACCCCTCAACTTTTAAGTTTTAACATGAGAGATTGAAAACACACCTGGCACAACACTTGGTTTTCTAGTTTATTACTAGCTATATAATAATTTATATCTGTGTTTCGGATTTTGAAAGAAGCAAAATCCTCAAAAATACTACTTAATTTCAAAATCTCAAATTAAAGATTTTCATAAATATGGGTTGTTGTTATTAAAACGTAAAACACAAGACTGATATGAAAATTCAAATTTTAAGTAGTATTTTTTAGGATTTTTTTCCCCTAACAAGTAATTACTTACCTATAACTATAATCTTTTTCCATGGCACGGATAGGTGCGTATTGCTTTATATTATGTTTTTAAATGCAAATTTGAAGGACTTACGTCATTATATATTTATATTTCTAAGGGAAAATTGTAAAAAAAGACCTTGGAATTGCAAAAACGCAGATAGGGACCCTTGACAACTTCACTTTAGGTTTTGACAAGAATAATATGCCCTGAAGTTGTCAAAACCCAAAGTGAAGTTGTCAAGGGTCCCTATCTGCGTTTTTGCAATTCCAAGGTCTTTTTTTGCAATTTCCCCTATTTCTAATTTATTAAGATATATTTTGTCAGGATTCAACGAGAGGGAAATAGAGATGTTGATAAAATAAAATAAAATTTAGATATCCGCATATCTCAACTTTATACTTGAAATCTTATAATACCCGGTTAAGATTTAAGCCAGTCCGGTCGGGTATTATACTTAATGTGATTTTAATGCATGCTTTTAAGAATATAACCTCAATTTTTTTTTATACTTAAAATCTTATAATACCCAGTTGAGATTCAAGAGGGTCAGGTTAGGATCACAATTATTGTGATTTTAATGTATGTTTTTAAGAATATAACCAGAAATTTCTCCTAATTAGTGTATTATTACTTGGTGTAATATTAATAAAATTATATTATCATTTATGATTATCTGAAAAAAGTTGACAACAAAAGAAAGAATATTTGAAGAAAAGCATAATCAAATTAGACTGTCAACTGTGATAATTTGACAAAGCATAACCATCTTCTTAATAAATTAATTATTTTTCAAATGCATTTTAAAAATTTAGTGACTGGGATATTAATACCATAATATCTGTGACGAATTTTTTTGTAGGAGTCCTCTCATTTTAATTACAAGGTTTAATTATTATATATCAAAGTTGGTTTTGCAAAATTGATTGTGTGATAAAATCGTTATGGTATTGGTCGCTCATCTTGCACATGGAATTATTGCTTTTGCATGTATTTTTCATTTCAGATGACCAACAATTTGACATGTTTCTTTCATGTTATTGCACTTTATTCATAATACCAAAATAGTCTTGGATGTCTTCCCTCCCTCTTAAACCAAATGGATTGATATTAAAAATCTCCTGTGAATGCTTGCAATCATTTCAAAATGAATTGCATTGGGAAACTAATCAAGATAATAATAGAAGGAAATGTTTATTATAGCATGAAGAGTTTCACTGTTTTTTTTTTTTGGTCAAAAGAGTTCCGTCGTTTATTCAAAGGAAAGAAGCCGTCGTTAAATGGATAGATATCATATTACTCCCTCCGTTCCTTATATAAGAGACAAATAACCGAAGTACGTTGATCAAAAAAACAGTTAAAATTAGTTAAAAACAATTAATGTGTAAAAAGTATAATTTTTTCAAAAACGCCCTCATTAATAAGGAGAGAGAGCATGAGAGAGAACAATTAATTATTAAAAGAAGAGAAGTTGGAGGGAGAGAGAGTGTGAGTTGGAGATAATAAATATGGGTAAAATAGTAAATCAACACAAAAAAGTAGAGACAACTGTAAGTGTCTTTATATATAGGAACATGCTATAAGCATCAAATGTCTCTTATAATAAGGAACAGAGGGAGTAATAACTAATAATGCAATTCACTCATTTCAATCGCACCATCTAAACAATACATCCAACCTAATTTAGTTTCATGGGTAGTACAAGATTTCAGTAACAAATTATTGAAGACGAAGGTCTTTTACAATAATTTTGAATTTTCTGTCGGGAATTGGAATTAAATTGATATATTGATCTTGAAGTGTCATTAACGGTCAAGACGTAAACGAATCAAATTTTATTGGGAACTTTTTAATAAAATAAATTCAAAATTCAAAATTCTCAAAAAATCATCTCAATTTCAAAAATCCCATACCAATACGCCGACATTTTAAAATTTAAAATTTCCAAAAAGTCACCCCAATCTTTTATTTAAAACATTTTTAAATTTACATATTTTAAATTAAAAATTAATGTCATTGAATGTAAAGTCATCATGGGCCAAAAAATAATGGATGTTGAGACATCATTTTAAAATCGCTGACTCAACATTTTTCATTAGTGAAGTTTATAAGGACAAAAATACACTTTTAAAACTTAAAAAAAATTAAACATATTTAAGGGGTATATGGGTAAGAACAAAACTATAATTTTAAAAGTGTTTTTACGATATATGAAATAAATATGTAAATGAGTTTATCTCGATTTATTAAAAAGTGCTTCTGAACAATACTTTTAGAGTTAGCCAAACGTCTTTTTAATTTAAGTTTTAATAACTTGAGTACAAGGCCCAAAAAAAAAAAACTTGGGTACCAGCCATCCCCTTTTCTTGTTTTGCATGTATTTTTTTGCAAACTAAAAAAATGACTTATTCCAACCCAAATATGGCCCGAGCGTCACCATGAAAAGTATCCCCGGAAGAGCTCAATTTAAGAAAATGAGTTTTCGTGTCAGATCAGCTTATGATGATCCCCATTTGCTGTAATGTCAATCCCCATCAGGCACAGTTCTTCACGCAGCGCATTACTATTCTTAAAATGTATACCCCTGATGCCAAATTCAATGGCTGCCTCGACATTTTTTATCCTGCAAGGGGATCGGAGAAGTAATACCCATGTTAGCATCAAGTACGCCAGTCTGAAAAGATTCAACTCTTCCGGTCTAGTTTGCCTACTATTTTCATGAAATAAAATAAAATAAAATCATTTGCCGCACAACCAGTTTTGGATCGACGGGGGAAAAGTCTCCAAAACTTTTAGCACATCCCCATTCGAAAATCATGTTGCCCAAATGAAACCCAAAAGAAGAGAACCGTAGGATGGAGAATTAAATAACGATACTAATGCCTGCTTTGCTTATAAAGAGCTCCCTTTCCAGTTGCATCACATGGATTCCCTAGCCCACGACCTATGCCCTTAACTCAAAAGTATGACCATAGAAGATATCAATTTTAACCTTGATTTTGTTACAAGTAGATGACGATTGGACGCCTTTATCAGGGGAAAAAAAATCAACATATACATATAATTAAAATAAAATCTACCATTACATTGCTATTGATGCAACTTTTCAATTTACATGCAATTTTTAAATTTTTTTCCTTTTCCCCATTCGGAAGTGTGTGGGTTCAGTAATCTAGTTATGGTTAAAATTTAATAAAGATCCAGTTTTAGATAGTGTAAGAACCTGTCATCCACAAAAATACAATTTGACGGATCAACTCCAAGATGTCCCAAAACTTCCATAAAGAATTCTGGATCGGGCTTTCTCTTTCCTGAAAACATAATAAATTGTCTTTTACTGCGTAAGGGTGACAAAATAACTTGAATTTATATCTCAAACTCTATATTTCCTAGTCAAGCAACGAGATCAACAAGAAAATGGTACAATCATAAGACTGCCCCAGTTCTCCCTAGACAACACCAAAATCGACATAAAAGGCACACAGAGTGAGCAGGAGAGGGCAAGTCTAACAAATTGCCAGATTACGTAAAATACCAGTTGTACACGAACAAAATGTCCAAGATAAATATTTGGATAGTTTCAGCTTGTCCTCAATCAACTGGTACCTACAATAGGAACCATTCTGATCATGGAAATCAAAACCGAATAATAAATCACAATAGAACAAATCTCTTACCATATGGGATAGTTTGTAAATGCATGCATCTCATAGTTATTTTGCTTCAAGGCAAGAAGCAATTCTTCAGTGCCTTCGATATAGGAATATCCACTTCTCATACAAGATTTGAGGCCTAACATAGACATCCACACACATATCAGCGGCTTTGGTGATTTCCAAGCGGGTTTGGGGATGGGGCTTGCATTGAGCACAAAAGCAAGTACATAAAACGAACTTCAGGAGTGCTGAATTGTATTGTTGAAAACTGAATCTCCAAAAGCATTTTAAAAATGAGCACACGCCTGATTAAATTAGACTCATATAATATGCCTATGAGGAGAATTAGAAGCATAAGGAGCAGAGCAGATAGCAAATCAATTATCAGGAAATTAAAATAAGTCAGCAATTTGTCTTGGATTAACACAAGCAATACTTCTACATCCAGTCTCAGTCTGTCAATGAGACGCTAGTCAGTGCTCAGTTACCTGCTTCAGCATTCTGGGAGAGAGACAGCTGTTACAACTTCTAAAACACTTGCCAAAAAAAAAAAAAATCACGAGAAACCTAAGATGTTCTGTACGCTGGCGTATATATGGTATGCTAATACGCATATATTGCAATTCTTATGCAACCCAGCAAATGAATATATGCCAAAACTTCACCAGAAAAAAAGTGACTTTCAATCTACCAAACAAATTAAAACACAAGATTTGAATTAAAAGATCAGGCTTTAGACACAAGAATTTTAGACCAACCTTCCAAATCAAAAGGTCTTCCATCTTTAAAAAATTTGCTTGCCAGCTCCGTCTGGAAGAAAATGACACAGTTCGCTAAAAAAAAGGCAGTGATGAATATAACTTCTATACCATTACATACAGAAGATCTGAGAATAGATCATGAGAAAATGACAGACAACAAAGATAAAACATGTTCATCATCCCCCAAAACTCTAGAGAATTACACAAGTGATGGTAGCATTCAGTTGAACAAGAAAAAACTCAACTCTTTAAAGGAAACAATATACACCCAAGCAATGAGTGTAGAGCTTGCTGTTTCTAAGGAAAATTTTTTCATCATATACTCTTAAAATCCCCTTCAGATTCTTGAGAGCCTTGTATACATTTTCAATATACAGAGGAATCTACTAGAGATTTAAAAATTGCAGGGAAGTTTGGAGTATATTCAAGTAAGAAAAAAAAGAGGAAGGAAACTTCAAAATATTACATGATGCCCATTGGAGAGACTATAGAATAAGAGTAATAAATTGATTGGATAACATATATATATAAAAGGAACAAGATCTATAAGACATTAAGAATTGTTGGCAAAAAAACAAATAAGACGTTAAGTATTGTTAGTGGAGAACATCCAATATCTTCAAAATACACATTCAAAATCTTGCAATGAATTGACACGATGAGAGAAGTCTGGCAAACATCAAAAGAAGGATTGGAATGCCAGGCTTTACCAGCAAAGATTGCCTGGAGCTAATGACTTGCACGTTTATGTCATTTCATTTCCTTTGACTGGTATATATGATGAAATCATCTTCAAATAATTGGACTGTCTGGGTAAAAGTTTGCAGTCCTTTCCACAGCAAGTGCACGAGGAAATGCAGAATGATTTCATACCAGAGGAAATTAAAAGAAGAAGGAAGCAAAGAAAATTATATGTTTTTCAAAGGACAAAACGCTCTCCTAGCCCAGGTGATTTTCCCCAACCTCCTCAGAGGCTCAGACAAAAACCCTCCTCCTATCATAGTCCTCTCTGACCAAATTCTCTCTCATCAATTCCTCTCTCATCACCTACTACATGACAGAGGTATGCATCGGGTGCTGACAACTAAACATTCTTGCCAGTTGCCACTGATCTACTCTTCACCCATTTTCTTATCATTCCTTCTATTATAACTTACAAGTCTCACAGGGTCAAGATCCACTTAGCATGGCCCCATCAACATCCTGCATGTACACAATTTGGTTTTAAGGTCAAACTCTAAATCATGCATTGGATTTACATATCAAACCAATATAATCACTGCTATATAATTTTCCTTTGAAGTCCCATCACCCAGACAAGATCCAAAAAAGTTGGAAAACACAAGGTTAGAATAAGATTGAAAATTTGTAAGTTGTAACCATAAAGTTCTTTCTAGTTTCAAATGTAGGAGCCCTAGAATAGGAGAAAGTGACACATCTAAGTTCTAACTAAGTGCTGCAAAAGACAAGAGAAGGTTAAACTTAAGGCTCGGAAGATAAATGAGACCTTTCCTTGCACGAAAGAAAGTGGTTGCGGATAATTCCCGAGGTTCTGAAAAGGGTGGGTTGGGGGTTCATAAGGGAGTCTTTAAAGTGAAAAGTCTTCAGAGGCCCCTAGAATGCATGGAGGACACGAGGAGACATGGGAAGGTTGAGGATTAGAACAAACGCATGCTACTGCAGCTGAACCCTTGTACCAAAACCCTGATTCAAGTCATTATGAAGATTTACTTGTATGAAGGCACCCTGGTCTAATCCTCCGAAGTTCAAAGCCAGTGTCATGGAAGGTTCCTTGTGAGAGGAACATTGACCTTCTCTAGCAAATTCTGGGTATCATAAAGTTTTTAAGTGATTTCCCAGAGTTGTTGACAGCAATCAAGCTGGTCTAATGACTTGTTTCAGGCCAGGGTCAAACACTACCTCAAGTCTTCTTTAAGGCAGATATCTTTAGCCAAAGATAAGTCCTAGGAAGGTCACTAAGGGATGAGGCTTGATGGCAGCTTTGGGATTGTGAGCTTCTAGCGGAAAGGGAGGCCTCAAGCAAGTGCCATAGGTTGCCTACCTTGAAGCACGCTTTCCATAGTCCATCATAGTTTTCCATATCAGAGATTCAGGTCAGTCCAAGTAGGTAAAGTCCGACGCTAGACCTTTTTTATCTGTCTAAATCTACCTTCACAATAACAGTGCCTTAATCCTTAGGTAGTCACTTGGGCATTTCAAGATTCCCAAGTAACTCATATGGAGACAAACCTGAGTAAATGCGAGAAAAGAAAAACAGATAGTAATTTTTACAGCCCTTTGCACTATATCCGTGTATTTGTGCAAGGTGATACCCACTGCTGAGCACACATGCTGGCCAGCTCGGGGTCAAGTTTCTGATAAACTGGAAGAATAAAATGTTTCTGGTTCCGACCAGGACAAAATAGGTCTAACTAAATACACTGCAAGTTTGCAACTCATTAAACACTCGAACATAGGATCCACGTATATTTGCTGAGAATACTAATCCACAGACACAAATTTTTCCCCGTTTCAGAATTTATCAAGGACACAGAAGAATTCAAAGTCCAAATAATCCCATGTTGGAATCACTTTTACTCAAGATATGGCTATATATGAAGAAAAAAATAATCCTGCGTGATGGATAGATTTGAACATTCCCAATTACCAAAGCAATGAAGAACCTTCAAGAAACCATAAGCGTAGGCCATACGCACTTCAAGAAAAATGAAGGAAGTAAGCCTCCCGTGAACTAAAGGGAGTAGAAGGTTGTGCTTATCACAAGTGGTGTTGTGCTAATTCAATTTCTCTTCCAAGTTTGAACACAGCAGGCGGTGAAAGATGTCCAATGCTGATAATTTAATTCATGACTGCACTCGTATGTATTCTTTTCCTCTGAATTTGAGTTTTACCTCATCAATTATTCCCTTTTCAAACTCCATCCACGCAGTTGGGTGCTTGCATTCCATTAGTTCCTTCAGAGTCATTCTGAACATGAAATAATTGTGTGATTACCCAGAGTGTTTAAAGTAGGGAACAAATTCTGGAAGGTTGCAAATGAAGATAAAACAAGATGTGATCACCTGAAACAATTCTATAAAAGATACTCTCAGCAGATGAAATGAGGCAGCAATGTAGTGTTTAAGATTGATATGTGCAGAAAAAAACCGTTATACGTCAGGGTTCCAAAAGACAAGTAGCATTGTCCTAACCCGAATAAAGACTGAAGCATAAAAGAACCGTAGAAAAATCAACTTAGCTGTCCTTCTGTTAACTTAAAGGAAGGACAGGCAGCTTCTATTTTCCAAAGACGTACTCCTCGGATCCTAAATAGGACACTTTTTATAAGTCACTATCTATTTTTCTAAACCCTTAAATAGGACACTTTTAATATCGATTCATTAACTCTATCATAAAATTTCATGACTTTCCAACTTTATTTAATCTAAAAGAAAAAAGGTACTCTCGAGAACAGCTGCATAATAAAATGGGTTGGGTGTCTATATAGGAAATTTTGTCAATCCAAACTAGGCTACGCACAACACGATAGTTAACACCACATATTAGAGTTTCGAATAGTCAGTCGTGCGAGTATTGATTACAATAAAGCAAATGAGTAGATTAAGCACCGAGCATTTGTAAAATTTCTGCTTATTACTAATGAAATTATGAACGTCAGTGCAATAGCGATCGAGGAAAACTTTGAACGGCCCAGACAATGAGAAATGACTATCCCGATCGAAAGTTGGAGTTTGAATATTAAGAAGCTAAGTTTAAATGGGAGTAACGATTGGTGTACCCGAAGAAGGCTGGGACGTCGTGGTAAAATGGATCACGAACAACAGTGTCCATCATATCGAATAGAAGTATGGGTAGTTTTCTGTCAGTGTTGGGAGTGGCAGTTGATGAAACGCCTCCGATTTTAGCCATTTTTAGTAGGTTCGAGTTCAAGTATAAATTTTGGCAGAGGGAGAGCCTCGGATTAGAGCAGATTGAGGGTGCTCTCAACGAGAAGACCACCGCCATTTTACCGTGGTCCGGGGATTATGGTCAACCTACTGAGTGGCCTTTCCACCCGATCTGGATTTTGGTCGTTACAGCCACGACGCGGGTCCCCGTCTCCGAGAGCCGCGGGCCCAACCGGCCCAAAAATGGCGGGGGGTCGGGTTTGCTAAATTCCAACCCGCGTCGTGGCGGGATAACCGCTTTTCTTTTTTTTTCTTTTTTTTTAAGGGAAAGAAAATTTGCTACTCCTGATCCGAACCTAAGATCTATAACAAGCCATTGCATTCACTGCCTCTCACAGTCTCTTGATTTGTTAGTGACTCATGAGTGGGAATGAAAGTGTCAGTGACTCCTGAAGCATCGTCTTGTGTCGTGCCAAAGGATTTGTTAATTTGATTGCTGCTGACCCTCCTTTGCGGCACATAGGGGCAGGTGATTGGGACTGAGACTGGTTAACGCTGATAAGGAAGAGAAACAGTGTTAAATGACGACCCGTTTAATGAATCCATGTAGCACATGTTAATTGAAGAACTAAACTGGATGTACTAGATATAATGTGCTCAATGTAAGTTTTGTCCTAAGGTTAATTTGAAAAAAAAAATTCATAAACATATAAAATAAATTTTACATATAAGATGAATATTAATTCTTTAGTTAAATTCCATGTCAAGAAAACCTCATGGTGTCACGATTTTCTGAAAGTCTTGTCAATTAATTCATAAAATTAAAAACTTGGGTAAGTTAATTATTTATCATTCAAAATAATAATTTTGTGACACTTATTTAAAAATAATCCTACCGTTTAACAATTAAAATTTAATACGTCAAAATAATAATATCTCAGTAAGTAAAGGTATGACAAAAAAAAAATAGTATAAAATATACAAAATCATATTTAGAGTTAATTCAAATTCTTAAATTTATGATTAATTAAAATTTTTAAATTGATTGTATATTTAAGATTCGAGGAAGCTAAATTTTACTGTTAAGATAGAGTAAATAAATAAATAAGCAGATGTCTGAATCTAGCTATTTGTTGGACACATGCCTTGCCTAGCGTCGTTTCCTACTGATAAAATTTTTTTTTTTTTTTTTGACGCGTACAAGAGCAAAGGTTAAACAATGACTGGAGTCTGGAGTCAAAGTACAAGAGTCTTTCTCCACTTTGTCATATTAATTGGCCCGTGGAAGTTTGTCCCATTAATGTAGACCAAAAAATGCAATGAAAATACAAGAGGCGTAGTTTTTTTCCCTCTTAAAAGTGGGGCCTAGGACACATATGGACGGTTTTATATTTCTTAGGCAAAAATATATCCTTAGTTTTTTCAATTTTGTATAAGGTTTTATTTTTGTTCTCTTCGCTTTATAAAATGTTCTTTCGGTCTTTAAATCCTGACATCAGTACCAAAAATACAGGTAGTAAAATAAAAAAAAGTTAACAAAACACTCTCAAATATTAACATATTAATTTAATTTTAAAAATAAATTACGCAAAAAATATCGTTTGAGACTAGTAATATTTTCTTTTGACTAAGGTTGAGACTAGTAGTGATAAAGTAAGAGCCTAAGAGGCTAAGAAAATACTTTGTAAAATTAATAGGAAAAAATAAATTTTTAACAAAGTTAAGAAATTAAATATATACTTCTGCCTCTCTCTTTTTTCACTGTGTACCATTTTCATTGTTTTTTTTTTTTAACCAATCTACATCAATACTAGCATTAGAGTACTCAGTTTGCACCTCCTGAAGTACGTTCCTGCTCATTTTTATGGGGTATTTCATACTTTTAAGTTTTAAGGAGTATTAAATATTTTTTTCTGTGTACACCCGTATTTAAGAAAAGTAGTAAATTAGTGTAATGTTGAAATTTAATACAATTAAAAATAATAATATATCAGAAATCATTAGTTAGGAATATCTCATATATAAGATATTCAAATAGTTATGTGGGAATTAGTTAGGAATATCTTATATATAATCAAGACAAATTTAATGTTTTAAAGTGTTAGGCGGGAATTAGTTAGGGATATCTTATATACAAGTAGAGCCGGGAATATGGGTTGGGACTCGCAGGCCAACCCGCCAACTCGCTATAAAAGAGCGGGTTATGCCAACCCGCCAAAATGCGGGCTACTCTGGCCCGCACCGCATAACCCGCGGGCTGTAGCGGGCTAGCCCGCGGGTTGGCGTGTTGGCCCGCCTAACCCGCCACCTTCTTTTTTTTTTTTTTAATTTTTCATATAACTAATATACTATTATATTTGAAAATTTTCTTCTCTCATTTACATCTCAATTTCCATGTTACATAATACATATGTAAACAACAAATATTTTTAAAAAATAAGCATACCATATTTGTAGCAAAAATTTAATAACTGCAATCAAATATAAGATAATATTTATTATAGAAAAAAATTATTTAAGAAAAATATGGTGAATGAACTTTAAAAAAAGTTAGATAAATGCACTTCTAATTTATTAAAAGATAGTGTTTTGTATCAAACATGACATTTGTATAAAAAAAATTATAAAATTTATCACTTGATAAGTTGATGTTCAATGTTAGTCATGTAAAATATTTGTAATATATTGTTTTATGTTTATATTGACTATTTTAAATGTAGTTAAATATAATTTATACTTGTGATTACTTTTGAAATTTTAGATCACTATTTATTAGTTTAAAAAATTAAATAAAAATAAGATTTAAAAATTAAGAATTAAAAAAAAAAAAGATGGCGGGCTGGCCCGCCAACCTGCTGTGACGGGTTAGGGTTGGGACTTTTTCAGCCCGTCAAAATGCGGGCTGCTCCAGCCCGCACCGCATAACCCGCGGGTTGTGGCGGGCTGGCCCGTAACCCGCAGGTTGGCCTGTATTCCCAGCTATATATACAAGAGAGAAGAAGGTTTAGGGGTGATCTAAAAAACTAGTGGAGATATTCAAATAAAAATATTTTTATTTGACGCTCAAATTTTTCTAAATTATTAAATTGCCCGGTCATGTTCAAAATGCTTGTCTTGAACTACTTAATATAAACACTTCCACATAAATTAGAATAAAACTCTTATCACATAGTTATTTCATATTTTATAAATCATAATTAAAAAAATTATTTTTGATCATTATTTCAAACAAACCATCCAGTGGTGACAGAAGACAATACAAGCTAATCTAAGACACGTCGCATCCTGTTAACTAGTCTTGTTTAAGATCTTATTTAGAATGACAGTAGAATCCCTTAAAAACAATTTCTTAATCATGTTTGCGGAATATAAAATAAATATGTACAGAGAATTTTATCTTAAATCATGTGAATAAGTGTTTTTGGGACTCTAATCCTGATCCCAGGCAACCACTAAATAATAATTGGACTTGCAAAGCAGATCTTAATTATATGGCATGCAGCAATTTTTCCCTCTATGGCTGAGTTGAATGGGAAATTCAGACGTGCATTAGCCACCCCCCTGTTTGTGCTCACTTCGTTGAGCCGTGTGGATGCGTGAGGAGACCATGCCACACTCTAGGACCTGACGGTATCAGCAAGTCAAAGCTTAGGGCCATGAGAGTTTTAAAAATGTTATTAACCCCGTGTTTAATATAAAAATTAGTTTAAAATTTAATTTCATTGTAAATACAAGACCTCAACTTATTTTATCTCTCGTAGTTATTTATTTATTTTAAAATAATCTTTGTAATAGTCGCACATGTTAAATGTTTAATTAAATGGTAATCATAGCCAATACACATGATTAACAATGATATTATATGGAAGACAACACTCAATTATTACAAATAATTAATTTAACAAACTTTTTAAATTTATTCGAATTAGTTAGCTAACTCTTATATTAAAAATCAAAAGTAAAAGTATCATTGCTGATTTTTCGTCTAGGAGTGTTTTTTTTTTTGTGGTTTTAAATTGTGATCTTAGTTCCAACTCTTCTCAGACCTCAGTCAACGCCGTTAAGTATGAAGACAAAAATTAAAGTTGATTAAAGTTGATTAAAGATACAGGGATAAAAACCAAAACTTGCCTAATATTTGTACTTCTAATGAGTTTTGATTTTTGCCCATATATTTTTAATAAATTTTAGTTTTAATCTCCATAATTAACATTGTTAACTAAAAATTAATATGGTTGAACTGAAATCAAGTTCTTATAAAACTACAAGGGATAAAAAATCACATTTAAAGCTATATGAACTAAAATTTAAATTCCATCATACTGGTTAATACTACCTCCGGTCCTAATTATAAGATCCAGTTGACTTATTTGATGAGATTAAGGAAGTAAGTTAAGTTAGTTATTTGTGATAAATAAGTGTTGTTATTCCTAAAATATCCTTGTTAATTAAGTGTATTGGTTAGAACTATCATTATTAGAAGGACTATCTTGGAAAAAAATGCATAAATATGAGAGAAAAATGGATTGGGGTCTTATAATTAGGACCAAACAAAAAGTCAAACGGGGTCTTATATTAAGGACCGGAGATAATAATAACATTAACCCCTTTTAGAGTAAATCAGGAAAAAGTGTAAATTACGGGGATAATGTGTGATTAATTTTCGCCAAAATCAAGTGACAAAATATGAAAACTTCGCATCATAACATGCAACATTGCAACAGAATAACAAGCGGCCAGGCCGGGAAGAAGAATAAAGCGTGGACCTTCAAACTTATTTTTATTTTGGTTTTTGTTTCTTAAGTTTTATATTATAATTACCCGTTTAGTTCATTAAATCATAAGTAATTGAATGTAATATAATAGGAAAGAATATAATGCAATGTAAGGATTTAAAAAAAAAAAAGTTTTTGCATTAATTTTAATTTAATAATTATAAAAATAAAAAGACAAAAAAATGCCCTTATCGCATTTTTCCCTTGACCCTTTCCCTTTGCCATAATCGATGTCCAGAAATTAAGGCAAAATGATCCAGAAGGCTAAAAATATAAATGGGATCATTGGATGTAAGGATAAAAATAGACTAGACCTGTTTTGAAGTTTATTGACCTGAGCCTG